CTCCTTCCGGTGCACTTCTCCACGCGGAAACCGCCTCAGACACCGCGGCGTCCAGCGCCTTCTTCTCCGACTCATGCCCCTGCAGCCAAGGGATTTGGTGTCGCCGCTCCCGTGGACCGAGGACCTCAAGCCCCACCTCCCTTGCGACCCGGCAGATTTCCTTCCAGTCAGCCTGCGTCTCTAAATTCCTCAATATCTGCGTCATCCTGGCTGCAAAATGGTCTCTTTTTGTCTGAGCACTTTCGGATGGTCCCAGCAGGCCCGCGTAGTTGGGGGTGGGGGGCCTAGTATTGGGGGCCCGGCGCGGGGCCGGCCAGCGCCCCTGCAGGCGCACCCCCACCTCGACCGGGTCGTGGTCGGTGTACGACGCCCACGCGATGACCCCGTCCTCCCTGACTGTCGGTGCCGCGGCCCGGTTGCGCCGTCTGCGTCGTCTTCGCGATGGTCTTTGCTGCAGCGACGCGGTCCCCCCCTCAGCACCAAAGTGCAGGGACTTGCAATCCGTGAAGTGACGACGATCGCGCGGCCGGACCAGAACATGGTCAAGTTGGTGCCCCGTCCTGAAACGCGGGTGCCACCAAGTGGCTGGTTCTCGTTGCGCATACGCCGTGCTCAGCACAAAGAGCGGCACCGACGAGCATAGGGAGAGCAGGTCGGAGCCGGTCGCACTCCGGCGGGCCGTGCCGTGGGACCCAATAACTTGAGACAAATCCTCCTCTTCCTCCTCCCCCCCTCCTCCCGGGCGCCCAACTTCAGCATTGAAGTCTCCTCCAACGATGAGTAAATTGTCGTGCGCTCGCACACGTGATTCCACGTGCCGCAATTCCTCGTTGAAGGCGTCTCTGGTTTCCTCATTGGCGGTGCCCGAGACGGGGGCGTAACAAGCAACCAAGGAAAGTCCACGACGTTGGCCCTCCCGGGGCAACACAACCCCCATGACCCGCACCCCCTTCCTATCCCACTTCCCCCTAACGACTACCCTCGATCCCCCCTCCCTCCATAATGCCGTAAGGCGTTGATTCAGCACCACACACACTTTGCCCCGAATGACAAATGTCCATACATCTGTCCCAACATCATACTCCCGGACGCCATTCTGATAAAAATTGACGTCCGTGAACATGCCAAACTCCCACCTACGAGCTTCCATCAGTTGCAAAAAACACTCAAGCTTGAGTTGCGATGGCTCATACCCACGACTCGATCCAAGTTTGCGCGTGTTCCAGGTTCCTCCCCGGAGGAAGATCTCCTCCGAGCCTTTACGCACGCGTTTCGCTCGAGACTTCCTCAACAGAGACAAGCGATAGAAAGCACGACACCGTTTCGCTCCAGACTTCCTCGCCTTCTGAACCGTCTTCCATCTCCTGATGCGCACCAATCGTCTCTGACACCTGGTCGGCCGGTCCGTGTTCTGAGGGCCTTGTTGGAGCTCCATCCGACGACGCGTGTCCGAATGCGCCCTGTGCGACTCGCCGGGGCCAGAGGCGCAGCCGCCTGCCCTCTCGGAGCGCGAGGCAGGGGAAAGGTCCGAGGACCCAACCGCCCCCGCCGTCGATTCGCCCCGGAGGGGTTGTGCACTCCCGCCCCCAATCCAAGCCGAGACCACGGAAGAAGACCCGTACGACGCCCACCCAGAGGCACCACGAAGCGCACCCACCAGATCTTCTCCCCCAGCAGCGCCAGTGGGGGCACCCCTAAAGGGGTTGGGGTTAGCCACGTCCATAGCTTTACAATGGAAGACCGTGGATAGAAACACTATGCACACTACCAGGGGGGACACACAACCACTACACACACCACTCCTACATCTACCCGCCCAGTCCCCGTTGAACGTGTTGTCCGAGGAGCGGCCACGTGGAGGCCTGTGCACCTGCTCCTTCATGTCGTGATTGGCTTGGCTCACCTCCCTTCATGTCGTGATTGGCCAATCACGACATGAAGGGTCAGGTGGAGGCCCGTGCACGTGCCCCACCTGACCCTTCATGTCGTGAGTGGCTTGGCTCACCTCCTCCGTCGTGAGTGGAGGCAGGGAGCCCTCGCTGGCCCGAGCACGCAGTAGAGAGAACATACTGGCACAACACCTGCCCTATCGTCGTGGGTCTCGCTCTGGGCGAGGGGAGAAGGCTTAGTATATTTGAAAAGCTGTCCAGTATTATCATTGTCCATGCTCCACTGCTTGGAATCGCGCAGTGAGCTGTTGATGGCCTTGGTACGAGCACGCCGAACAATGACTTCCAACTATTAACAAGCGGCTTGCAGTCCTACGAGAGGCTGCTCACCCAAGGAGGAGGAGGAGGAGGGGGAGGAGGAGGAGGAGAAGGAGGAGGAGGAGGATGATGATGATGAGGAGGAGGAGGAGGGGATGAGCAATATCAGGAAGAGGAGGGGGGGAGGAGGAGGAGGAGGAGGAGGAGGAGGAGGAGGAGGAGGAGGAGAAGGAGGGGGAGGAGACCAGGAGGAGGAGGAGGAGGAGGAGGAGGGGGAGGAGGAGGAGGAGGAGGAGGAGGAGGAGGAGGAGGAGGAGGAGGAGGAGGAGGAGGAGGAGGGGGATTCAGATCAGGAGGAGGAGGAGGAGGAGGAGGAGGAGGAGGAGGAAATCAGAAGGCAGTCGTGGAGCGAGCCTGGTACTATATGCAAGGTTTCTGGAGCAGTGAAACACGCTTCAAACTTCGTGATCGTGCTGTTGTCGAGGGTATCTTCTCAACGCGGCGCTAAATGCGGCCGAAACGTTGGCATGCAGAACAGAACGCGCCTGGGTTGCACGTTGAAGGTCATCCGCGCTGCTGAGGCTGGCCGCGTTAACGACATCTCTATGTGTCTCCTTCGCTATCTTGATCTGCGCGGCGTGGTGGACAACCCTTACCGCATCGACGGGAACATGGACGAAGATGAGAAGGATGGAGAGGGTGACCATGTAGAGGTTGCTATAGCTATATTCCTTCGGTGCGACCGTCGGGCCGAGGAGAACCATAGTAAGCCCACGAGGCATCAACGATGTTCCCTCCCCACAATTTCATGCACGCATTCGCTTACTACGAGGAGCGCTTGCTTCAAGTCAAGGGAGGAACATGTATTCCGACCCGCGCAAGTGACGTTTACACCAAACAATCTACGGGACTCACTATACAGCCCTGCTTTGATCGGTTCCTTCCTCGGGTGCGTTGGCGACAGGGTTTCCCCTGTCAGGGGGCTTGATGTGAGGGTGGTCCTTCTGCCATCGTATGAAGGACGAACGGCCCATCCGCCGTTCTAGAGTCGAGCGGAGTAGGTAGTCCGAGTGCGATCCAGCAGAGTTGAGCAGACTGCGACGGAGTAGGGTAGCGCGGAGTAGGTAGCCCGAGTGCGATCCAGCAGAGTTGAGGAGGAGGAGGAGGAGGAGGAGGAGGAGGAGGAGGAGGAGGAGGAGGGTACGAGAGAGCACCCGGTGGCTCGCAGCCCCCCGTCGCCTGCACCTGGCCCCGCGCACAGCTCGGGAGCTGCTCTGCAGGTGTGGCTTCGAGGGGCTCGCGCGACGCACCCCGAAAGTCCGAGGTGCGAATTTAACACTAGGGAGCCACATGCGAACCCTACCCCTACCCCTCACGATTTCTGAGGGGTAGGGGTAGTGTTCGCATGTGGTTTCCTATACATGACCACCGCCTGGAGGATCAGTTGTCGGGGACCTCGACAGGCGGTGGATATGGATAGATTCGGGCCCCGGGGGGCCAACTATATATATATATATATATATATATATGTACACACACACATAGCACTCCGCACATGTGGATCAGAGTGAGGGGGCCGTGGGGACGTCGGCAGTCTGCGAGACTCTGGAGAAGCAGACCGCAGGCGCCAAATTTCCATACATTATACAACGAGCCCGCCGCAGGCGCCGATTTTTTCGTTAAACCAATATGGGGAGGTCGCGGCTGGGTCGCCGCTAGGTCGCCGCTGGGTCGCGGGTTGGGTCGCGGGGTGGGTCGCGGGGTGGGTCGCGGGGTGGGTCGCGGGGTGGGTCGCGGGTTGGGTCGCGGGTGGGTCGCTGCTCGGTCGCGGGTGGGTCGCGGGGTGGGTCGCGGGGTGGGTCGCGGGGTGGGTCGCGGGGTGGGTCGCGGGTGGGTCGCTGCTGGGTCGCGGGTGGGTCGCGGGGTGGGTCGCGGGGTGAGTCGCGGGTGGGTCGCCGGGGGGGACGACGACAACAAACAACATCAACGCAACAACGCAACAACGCAACAACGCAGCAAGCATAATCCTCACCACGGAGCCCCACTTCAGCCACGCACCCAGGGACAATGAATGACCGTTTGGCCCCCTCACTCTGATATAGCATCGGTACGTCTGTGCGCATCCCACCACACCACGTGTTCTCGAAGGCTGCGGCGTCGCTCTGCCGAAGTTCGCCCCGCGCAAGATTGCGTGGCGGCGGGGCCCGCGCTGCCGGGGCCCCAGACCTCCCACGTGCACGGAGCGGACCTCGTGTGGGTGCCCCTCGTCGGTGGCTGGCCCTCGGAGGGGCCCTCCAGGGAGCCTCGGGCCGGGGGCGTCCAACGAGATGCTCGTTTGGGGGGGGCCTTCCTGGGGCCCGCCCGACAGATCTGTCCGACTCCAGTTCGGCCCCAGTTCGCCTCAAGGTCGGCTCAACTTCGACTCAGGTTCGTCCGTAGCCATTTTGGCTCAGGCCGTTTTGGCCCAGGCCGCTTTGGCCCAGGTGACCGTCGGGTGAACCTCCTACGGGCGCAAAGCGCCCTGATCTGCGCCTTAGGACCCCTGGCCCTCGACGCCCCGAACGTAGGGATGGCGAGCCTCGCTGGCGTCACGCTCCTTCCCGCCAGCGAGCAGCTCCCGCGTCCAAGGCTGGCGACAGCGTGGGCGGAGGCGTCCAGCGCGCCGCCCGTGCCGAGGCAACCCTCGACTCCCAGGACGGCCCGCGGGCGCCCCGTCGCTGGCAGACCGTCCAGCGGCCACGGTGAAGCCGTGCCAGGCTTTGGCGTCCTCGGCCCGGGCAGGATCCGCAGGCTTCATGGGTTGCGACCTCCTCCTGGGCCTCCGGTGACTCTCCACGACCTTCTCCAGATGAAGAGGCTCGGCTTGAGGATCTCCGAGTCTTGCCCCGACATCCGCACGTCGGGCTGGCGCGTGGCCGAAGTGTTCTCGGCGCCCGAGTTGCCAAGAGTGGAGCTGGTCAGTAGCGAGGCACTGAGCCGCCAGACGAGCGACACCGAGTCGACGAGCGACACCGAGTCGACCTCAGACCTCTCCGAGGAGTCCCCGAGGCCTTCTGGTGCGGGCGCCCGGCTCCATCGGAGCAGCCCGATCGCTGGCGAGGACGAGCGGTCTTCCCCTGAGTCGGGCAGCGTCCGTCCCTTTCGCAACGAGTCCTGCAGCCGCAGGGCTGCGTTCGTCCCACCTTCCAGGCCGAAGGAGCCTCGCAAGCCCGACCAACCTCGGCGACCGCAAGCGCGACAGACATCGACGACCTCGAAGACCCCGAGCCATCTGGGCCAGAGGATCTGCTGCAGGCCGCCCAACCTCGACGACCGCAAGACCATCCTGTGCTCCGCGGGCCCGAGCCAGTCCGCCAGCGAGCGAGCCAGGCCCGCGCCCCCGGCCGCGGCGGCCCCCGCCCGCGCCCGCCCCAGCCACGCCGGGAGGTCGCTGTCGGCGGGGCCCGCGCGCTCCGCAGGCAGCTAGAGCGCTGCTTTTCGGGGCAGCTGGGAGGGTGAGAGCTCGCTCGGGGCATCCCAAACGGTGCAGTGACCACACCATGTGGTGAGTCAGTGTGAGTCGGTGGGGATTCTGAGTGGCCGCACGGTTGAGGACCCGGCGCCTTTCTCCGAGGATGCCTCGTTGGCGATCGGAGCCTCCGGGGTGCAAAACCGTGCGGTGACGGACGGACCTTGCGGTGAGGCCCACCAGATTTCAGGGTCACCGCACAGTCTGTCACCGCACCTTTCTGGGATCCCAAGTGTCCCGTTCTTGCGTGCGGCGAGCCCGGATTTCAGAAAAAGGCGGCAATGATCACCAGCGACGCCGAAGTGTGTATATTTTCCGGCGTAGTTTGTTGCAGTGGATATACAGATCGTGCACAGTGCATTTCACTCGATTGAGTTCAACCAGGTTATGCCAGTGTTGCTACAAATCGCATTGCACAGGTGTTCAACCAGGTCATGCTGCTGAATCCAGTCGCGATGCCAGAGCATTTTCCGCATGATTGAATTTATAAGGCATGTGTTCGCCCTGGAAGGGAAGCACGACATGCAAACATCGCCGATACAGGGCCGAAAGCAGGCCAGGCATCCAATGTCTTAGTTAGTCTCGATCGTGATTAGTCGCAGTCGAGGCGCTAAGCTGCGGTCCATGACCGACCCCGTGCCAGTGGACTTCAGCAGCCAAGGTGCATATGTCCAGTTCTGCGGTCCTCAGGTTAACCGTCACGGCATATTGGTACAGTCAAGCGTTGCAGCTGTGGTGCATCTTTGTTTTCTCTTCGGTCCCAAAGGTTGACCGACGTGTAGCTCTGCACATGTTGGACAGTCGGCTCTCACCAGCCTGACTAATCTGGTTGCAGCAGACATGTGTTTATGTAGCGGTTGCTCTCGTGAACCGAGGCTTTAGCGGCAGCTTGGTGCCGTTATTTTGTCATCTTTCCGCCGCTACAGACGCCCGTGGGTGTTGCAATGTATGGTTTGCTAGAAATTCAGGCTGAGGCCCGAACCAGTTTGCTGGCCAGGTTGCATGCTGGCGGGGAGGACGGGGCGGGATGATAAGGTACATGGGTGGGGGAGGGGAGGGGGTAGAGGAGGCGTCTGCGCCCGGGCCCCTCGAGATCGCTGCGCCTTGCTCTGCCGACCAGCCGAGAGACGCTTTTCGTTGCCACGTGGACCTTCGGGGTGGCTGGCCAGGGCGCGGGGTTGTGTTTGCTCCGTTTGCCAATTTGTCTGTGGGGGCCCACTGTCAATCTCACACGTCTTGATGACACAAAAGAGGTCGACGGACTCCGTGACTGTCCCACAAGCCCGTTGCTATCCCTCAGAAAACCTGGCTGGCACCACGTGCTAAGGGTGGCCTACGCTCGGGACACTTCCTTTTCCTCCCCCACCTCCGCCTCCCTGCCCGTCTGCCTCCCTCCGCGTCTGCCTTTGTCATCTGGTGCCCCGAGCACCAGCAGGGTCGGCAGCCGGCATCATTGCGGTCAAATCCCGACAGCTGTTCGCGCACGGCACCAGCGTTTTTTTTGTGTGTATGGCCGCCCCCAGCACGCCGCCTGCAGCAGCGATGCTCGCGCACGGCACCATCCACTTGTTTTTGCGTGGCCGCCCCCAGTGCGCCGCCTGCGGCAGCTTCTCCTGCTTTCCCCCTTCCTTCTCCTTCTCCTCCTCCTCCTCCTCCTCCTCCTCCTCCTCCTCCTCCTCCTCCCTCCCTCCTCCTCCCTCCTCCTTTGGCACTGGGCATATCGTGCTGGTTGGCGCGGGCGCTGCGCCCTCGACTGCGGCGCCCGGGCATCGGGCTGCTCACTGATCAGAGCTGCGCTTGGTGCTCTGGAGACCGAGAGCGAGCTGGTGCAAAGAGACAGACCGCTGAGAGAAAGAGAGGAGGTGTGCGAGCCACCGCCTCCCCCTGCCCCATCAGTGTGCAGGCAGTTGGTGACCAGTCACGTCCTCGATGGGTCTGGCAAGCGTTGTACAAGTTAGCTCTTCCTCCAAGGCTGCCAAAGCCCAGTGGACTTCCGCCTTCCGCCCAGTGTTTTAGACCCGCTCCTGTCGATGGCAGGTTCTCTGTGTGAGGCTCAGAGACCGTCTCAGAAGGCCGGGGGGCTTCCGGGCCTTCCGAGAAGGCCGGGCCTTCTCTTCTCATGTCCCCCCCTCGCTCGCAGCCAAATTCTAGACGCTTCGCGTATCCCCACCAGTACCGTCGGCTCTCGTGCCTGCTTCAGCGCTGACCCTGTGGGCCATATGGGACCCCTCTGTGCCAAGCGGGGCCCAATGGGTCGGCAGCCCCATGGTCCTCAACCGTCCCTTTGCTGCGCGCAGACACGCAATTGGTGAGGAATAAAGACTGCACGGACGGCTGTCCCCCACGGGCCATCGCTTCCGTGGGTGGTCCCTTCACGACGGGGACTGGTTTCACCGCAGTGACAGGCTGAGGCCTCAACACTCTTGTGCCACCTCTTGGGGCTGAGGTGCACCTATACCACCACACTGCGTTTAGACTTCCCACGCTTGCTCGTGGGCTTCATAGTCCGTGGGGATTCGGCTGAAATAATCCACCCTCACGGTTCCCATTGGCCTTGTTCTCACTGGACGATGGTCCGTCTTTGTCCGCTTGGGCACCCACTTTGGATGACTGGGATTGCAGGCCATAGGCCCCCCCCCATGTGCTCCACCTGTTGTACCGCACTCTTTCCACACTTCCTACCTACGGTGGCCCTGGTCAGGTGGCGCCGTCCCCCCCACCTGACGAGCACCTTTCCCCCCTCAAGTCTACATCACTTGCAACGCACACTGTTGGGTCCTCTGCGGTCGCCGCCGCCACCTGGCCCACCGGCTTTGCCCCTCTCCCCACCTCTTTTATTTACCCGACTTGCGGCTATCGGCTGCGCCTCCCCCCCCTTCCTCCACGCACGCTGATGTGGTGTACCACGCCATTCGGCTTCCCCCCATCGCGGCACGGTTCACGTGCATGCACGCACACGCAATTGGTGAGGAATAAAGACTGCATGGGCGGCTTTCCCCACGGGCCATCGCTTCCGTGGGTGGTCCCTTCACGACGGGGACTGGTTTCACCGCAGTGACAGGCTGAGGCCTCAACACTCTTGTGCCACCTCCTGGGGCTGAGGTGCACCTATACCACCACACTGCGTTTAGACTTCCCACGCTTGTTCGTGGGCTTCATAGTCCGTGGGGATTCGTCTGAAATAATCCACCCTCACGGTTCCCATTGGCCTTGTTCTCACTGGACAATGGTCCGTCTTTGCCCGCTTGGGCACCCACTTTGGATGACTGGGACTGCAGGCCATGGGCCCACCCCATGTGCTCCACCTGTCGTACCGCACTCTTTCCACACTCCCTACCTACGGTGGCCCTGGTCAGGTGGCGTCGTCCCCCCCCACCAGACGGGCACTTTTCCCCCCTCAAGTCCACAACGCTTGCAACGCACACTGTTGGGTTCTCTGCGGTCACTGCCGCCACCTAGCCCACCGGCTTTGCCTCTCTCCCCACTCCCTTTATTCATTAGATTTGCGGCTATCGGCTGCGCCTCCCCCCCCTCCTCCACGCACATACCACGCCACTCGGTTTCCCCCCATCGTGGCACGGTTCACGTGCATGCTCCGAGGTGGTCACACCTATCCCAGCGGCGGGGTGCGATCACCCGCTGGCTCCGGCGGGTGGGCTTGGGGAGGCAGGATTCCTGTACAAGTGGTCCATCTTTTGACAGGACTGAGCCTTCGCATGGCAGGCCCGTCCCTCCGGCCCCCGGCTTCGCTTGTGACATCGACCCTTCCTCTGGACGGACTTGTTGCTCGCGTACGCCAACGACGCCAACGACCGCTTCCACGGTGCACAGCGCACGTGGCCCACGTCTGCCCAGCGGTTCTCCCACGGGCAGGTCCGCTGGCCTCCCGCTGGGTGGTGCAGCCGTGGTACCACGCAGCGTTCCCCCATCCACAGTGGCAAGGAAGTTGCAGGCTGGGGCTCTCAAGACTTGGCTGCCGACGCCTGTCATCGTTCGACGCACCGGTCTTCGAGCACTTTAGGTGCTCTGTGAGTGAGGCTTCCTTCCTTCCCCTCCCCTTGTCGCCTCCTGCGCCTGTCTCCCCTTCTGCTCCTCCTCGCCGCGTTTGGCGGTGCCTTTCCTCGGGCTCTGTGCTGCCCGCGCAGCGTTCCCGCTTTCTCGCAGGCTCGGTTTGTGGGGGCTGGCGCCACAGTGCGACCCTCCGCCGGCTTTTCCAGTCTGCTGACGTCTTCCGTTCCCGGGTCGGCTCTAATGAGGTCAATTTTGTCCCTCGCGCGTGCATTGCGGCGTTGGCCTATGTGCCTTCGTTGCCAATCGTCTCGCTTTGCGCCCCTGTCGAGATTGACCCGCTTTCTGGAGCCGTCCTTGGAGCCGCAGATCAAAAAGTACCCCCACCAGTACCGTCGGCTCTCGTGCCTGCTTCAGCGCAGCTTCCCCCTGGTCGCCCCATCCAATTGCAACGTCGCACACTTGCTTGGACACGCGCCACACGTGCCCCGGGAGGTACAGCCACTTTGTGTACTTGAGGATAAGCTTGTCCCTCGGTCCTTTTGGCGTACTTCAGGCGGCAGCACCACCATCACTGCAGCACCCCCCTCCCTGCCTCGCTGGCGATGCTCACCACGCCTGCCTGGCCCTCTCCTCTCACACTGGGTCCGGCGCCGTGCCGCTGCCCACGGGCCCGGCTCGCGTTCGTCTTGGTGTCCCTCATGCACTGCTGGGTGGACTGGCGGGTGTTGAGATCGCCACGGAGTGGTTCAGCCTTTCGCAGCAGCTGCAGCCAGGCTCATCCCCCCGTTTTGGCAGGTTGCGTCGT